TTTGAGTCGGATATTTGTAGTATTAGGGGCAGAATCTGCGAAAGACATCGTCTGTGCAAGACTTTGGTAATTGTCAATAAACATCAACTAATGAATGTATATTTGATGAAATACAACTTTATTTATTTGTTATTTAATGTGTATTTAAAATTTTGAAATTCAAAGAAGATGTATGAAGCGGGGGGCGATCCTCAAGTGTACAGAACAACATGCATTGACATGTTGGAAGGAATGGGTCCCAAAAATCTGAAAGCTGATTTATTTATACGCACATGTGCATTGCATAATAACATTGAAGCCATGTTCAGACAATGAATTCTATGTGTAGTTTCAGTAATTATATGTAATCTATACCATTTATTAATATTTAGTGGCATTCATGTCATATATTGATATTGATATTCTGTCAACAGGATGAGTGCTTTTATTATGACAATTTTGATTTAGGATTGACTTTGTTGAGACAAGCAGCAGATGAAGATCATCTTGAGGCAATTTATTTGCTTGGAATGATCTACATTTCAAGAGGGCCTCATCAATGTGATGAAGGTATGTATATATGGTATATATGTAAATTAAATTATATATATAGTTAATTAAGGCATGTTTTTAGTTTGGGGTTAGTATTTAGTTGTGTTGTGTTGTATAATATTTACTGTTGTATTGAAAAGGATACATTGGATTAATTGATGGATATTTTAATGTGTGGGTTTACAATTACTTGATGCCTATTTTGGCTGGGCAATTCCGGATGATGAGGAGTACACAGGTGTTGTTGATAGTGTCGAAGAGCTGTTGCGGGCTGTTGATGTTGTTTATAGTGTGAAGACCCACGTCATTCTGTTAAAGGTGCATTTGCAATAGGCCATGAAGAGGATGAGGATCGACAAAGATATAGCTTGGTTTTATGTTTACATCATTTTGTTAAAAGGGCATTTTAGTCATTTTTGCTTGCTATGTTGTTTGATTAGCAAGAAGTATACGTAAAACCCATATTATTTTTCTGATGAAGTATAGTTAATGGAATTAAAAATAAGTTTGTAATGAATTCGTTATTAAGGAAAATAATCTACATATATTATATACTTTAACATGCCCGATTTTAAGGGTATGCAAGAGGTGCAACCGCACAGGCCCCAAAAAAATAGGTCCCGAGTTCTAATAAAATTATATGGTTAATTAGTCATTATATACTATGTTTTTCAAAAAATTATACACAACTTGATTAGCACAATTGGCTTAACCGCGCCCTTTTCTAGCATAAGCTTAAGTTCGAGTCCGCTTGCCAACAATATCTACTTTTATAATTCATTTTTACATTTTTAGCCATTGTTTATGCCACATATTACCAATTCAAAAACATTTCATTCAAACCATATCTTATAAATTCCATTGATCATAATAATAATTCATCCATAGAATAAGAAAATTAATTAAGCATACATCCCAACAAATGTCGTCACAAATTAGCTACGCGTTTTGTTCCATAGCAAAACAAGCAAACGAGATCATATTCCATAGCAGAATTCCCTAGCAAAATACCTAGGAATGATACCTACATAGCAAATCAACTATGGAGTTGGTTTCCGCCACAAACTCCGTTGCATAGTAACCACGATAATTAATTCCATAGCAACAGTACAACGGAAAGTGATTTCGTAACAAATGTCGTTGGAAAATTGCTACAAATTTTTGTTCCATTGAACTATCAGTAGCATAATACTAACGGATATGGAGTCGGTAGCATTTTCCCTAGCAAGTCCCATTTTCGCTATGAGAAATAAAATTCGTAGACAATGTGGTAGCAACATTGCTATGGAACGACATTCCATAGCACTATCCATTGCAGATTAACAATGAAAATACGTTCCATAGCGACCTTCCCTAGCAAAATCGTGTTTTTCTTGTAGTGCTACCTTCCACACCTATCTATAGTTTTCTCAAGAATCATCCCGAATCCTCTAAGTCACCTTCTCAAACCGATGCACCCGAAACTCACTAAACAACGCAAAAAAAAAACCCGCTGAAGCACTTCCTAGGCTATCCTAATTTCCCAACCTCACCCTGCCATCAGCTGCTGAAGAACTCCCCATAATTCCAGTCATCCACCTCATGAATACATTCATATTCACTTAGTAGCTAACTCCCATTACCTAAGAGTTCCACAAAGCACAGGGCATGCAACATTTGTGCAGTACCACTCCAATCCATAAAACGATCATAGGACATTCAACGCACATACCACAACTCATGCTAGAAATTTCCACCCTTCCTGTCGGTTACCTTATGCATGCAAATTATACACAGAACAAGATCAAATAGACTGTCGAATAATAGACTCTACCCTAGGACAACAACCAGACATGGAACATGAAATAAGGCCAAATCAATTATTCTAGGGCTATTAGATCCTAACCGCAAACAATTGTTAAAGCATACACTTAGCAGTTACTGATACCAATAGATATTTCCATTACAACATAGCATCCAATACTTCCGAGACTACAAAGCATCACACATATCAAACTAATCTATCACTGACTAATCAGCTATAGCATGCAAGTCTACCAGCTCATACAATAAACATACAAAGGCATCTCTCCTAGCATTCTATCATGCAAAAACTAAGCAGATCCTTAGCCTTAACTAGCATGAAATTCACCGATTCATAAATCAAATCATATCACATTACACGTATGGGTATTTTGGGAAAACTTACTTGAGCTCGGCTGATTGCATGTACCGCACCCTTCTCTTATCTTATAAAATTTCTTTTCTTAAAAATATTTTTCTTTTGAAAACTCTACCAAATCCTCAGTTTGAGTTCAGACATACCCGAGAGTATGTCCGAATCCGTCAAACCAATGCTCTGATACCAACTTGTAACGTCCAAAAAATCAAGACATAGAATTTTTTGTTTTTAGGTTAATAAATCGTTAATACATATCTTTCCCATAAAATCAAGATAAAGAAGTTTTAGGTAAACATCATCAAATCAGAGTAATTCACAAAATGCAGAAACATGCAGTATGTGCTATGCAATCATCCCGAGCCCTTCCATTTGAAAAGTGTAGTACCAGAAACATAAATTGAAAACCGTAAGCACAAAGCTTAGTGAGTTCCCCAAAATACCATACAACATACAACCACAAATTATCATGCAACGTACATATCGTTGTCATGGGCTCTCCCATGGTCATTATCTGGAATGCCATTGGCTCCCCCATGGTCTTTACCTGTAATGTCATGGGCTCCTCCCATGGTCTGATATCCAAATGCCACAGGCTACCCCCAGCGTCTTTCATTCAGGTATCACAGAGATAACTAGCATATCACATAACACGTAATGGCCCGACATTGGTGCCTTCGACCCATGGATATAGTGAGAAGACTCACCTTGCACTGCCGAATCAAACATAAAATCATTGGTTGCTGGCTGATAGATCCTCGAACTATCAAAGTCAAAACAACACCCAATCAACAATTGGGTTCCAATCCATAACGATAAATCCATTACTAGGGTAAATGACTAATTTTTCCCTCACCTACTTTTGGACCAAGACTTAGGCCCAAACTTAATAATCCACGAGGCCCAAATACCAAAAACTAGCGAAGGCCCAATCCATGACCCAATTTTCCAAATTAGGTCCAAATCCATAGTGGGCCTCCATAAATAAATATCAACCCAAAAGCTGATGGCCCAACAGGGCCCAAAACAACAAAGCCCAAAAGATGGCCCACACCGAAGCCCAAAACCGAAATCCCACTCTGCTGAGTACGTGGGGTGTACTCAGCTTGTACGCTAAGCGTACTGGCTTAAGAGCTTGTATGCTACACATACAGGCTTGTACGTCCAACGTACTCCTCCTGTTGACCAACTCTCAATTCTAGCTCTTAATCCATTAAGCCAATACATCCAAAACCTCAAAATAGCTAAATATAAGTGACTTGATCCATAAAGTCGATTGCTTAAATCCTTTGCATGGCTTAATGAAGCCCAACACCAAAGATGAACTCCAATGGTCAAAATCACACCAAAATGTCTTAAGAACTTCTTAATATCTTAAGACCTTAGTCTAAACTTCCATATCTGAATCAAAGGGACTTCCTAAGTCATAAAGTTCCCGACTTTATGACTGAGCATGACTTAATGGGACCCAAAACAAAACCCTAAGTTCCAAGCTTAACCAAAAGACTACCAAATAAAAAATCATATTTTTCAAGTTTGTTTAATATTGACCTTTCGCTTTTATTCATTGTCAAAAACAAAAGACACTATGTTTTCACTTTCTTTCAGTTTTGATGTTGCATTTTACAATTTTTGTTTTCAAACTCATCATTGGCAAATCAGGTATCCAATGAGGGCCACGATGAAATTGTCAAAATTGAAAAAAAATGCAATTTTCAATTAAAAAAAAAGTAATAATAATGTCAAAATCAGGAAACAAATGAAATGATAGTGTGTTTTGTGCCATTTAACATAGTCAAATATTGAAATATTTTTTCTATTACGGTTATTGATTCAAGTTTTCATATTGATATTGATTCTTATTTCAAAGTTCCAGCGACCAAAATCAATACAAAATATTGAAATAAGAAGCTTACCTAAAAATGTTTAGATTTTAAATTAAACACTGGATATTGATCTTTATTTCAAAGTTCCAAGGACCAAAATCAATAAAAAACCATGAAATAAAAGTAAGGACCAAATCAAGGACCAGTTTTCTAATTTATTTAAGAAATAAATTATCATGCGAAGTGTCTAGAATGTTGCCGTCGAAAGTTTTGTAAACCACATTAAGCAAATACGTAGGTGTTTTTGTAGTTGTGCCTTAAACCACACGCATCAATTTTGTAATTTTATCAATATTTAATTTGAATATAAGATACTGACAAGGTTAGTCAAAATTCAGATTACAAAATCGTGATAACAGACTTTCCCCAAATCTTCCATTTCGCTTAACTGTAGAAATTCATATACAGCAGCATCCAAAATCAAAATGTCAGACGAAATTCCTTTCCATATCCAAGAGAAGATCATCAAAAGCTTTCCTGTCAGGTCATTGCTTCAGTTCAGAACCGTCTCGAAAGCATGGAAGTCATTGATCGACAGCTCTGATTTTATTGCTGCTCACAGCGTTACTCAGCCTCAGCATCTGCTTTTAAGGTACGAAGATCCTGTAGAAACTGTGGAAAAATATGTTTCTTTTCTCGATGATGACACTTTTCCTCATCAGAGGTTTGTTCATACCCTTCCTGAGTCCTTTAAACTACTTAAACAGTCAACCATAGTCGGTAGCTCTCTAGGGTTGTTGTGCTTGCATGGTTATTATGGAGATGGAAAGGGTTTTTTACCCAACTTTGAAATGGAGATGGTTGTTCTTTGGAATCCTTCGATTAGAAAGTCAATTACTGTTCCTATGCCTAACACGTTATATTTGGACCCTAAAAATGATATTGGTTTTGGTGTTTCCCCTGTGACTAGTGACCCTACAATCGTTGAGATCACACAATTTCACAAAACTAGCTACCATTGTGAAGCTAAAGTTTACACTGTGAGCTCAGGCAAATGGAGAAATCTATCTAACAATCTTCCTAGTAAACCATTTCGCATCTTCTCGCCTCAGGTGGTTGTTGATAAGTTTATTTATTGGTGTGCTTTTGACCCGATAACTAGAGATAACATGTTAACGTATCATAATCTGATAATGTCATTTGATATGACTAATGACAACTTTGGAGTGATAGACCTCCCAGATAGCTTAAGGTGCCTCTCTCCTACTCAGTTGTGTATTTCTAAGCTAAGGGAGTCTCTTGTCATGCTCGATTATCATAGGTTTTTAAAACGTTTTTGTGATGTATGGATGATGGAGAATGGTGTTAAAAAATCATTTACAAAGAAATTCACGGTTGAGGCACCATATTGGTCAAGGAAAATAACACCACTAGGATTTAGGAAGAGTGGTCAACCTATAATGGAATTGGAAAATGATCATGAATTTTTTCAACAGAGTGAACTTGTGGTCTATGAGCCCTACCCTAAGCGCTTCGATTATCTTGAGATCTATGGAACAACTGAAACATTCTCTGTGCATTCCTACATGGAAACACTAGTTTTGATAGAGTGAACTTGTGGTCTATGAGCCCTACCCTAAGCGCTTCGATTATCTTGAGATCTATGGAACAACTGAAACATTCTCTGTGCATTCCTACATGGAAACACTAGTTTTGATAGGTCAGTCTGATTGAGTCTGATTGCAGTATCGAGGTCGAAGATGATGGCCTCATTGCAACGTCTAGCCTAGAATGAATGACTTGTGGTGTGGACAATTGAGGAAGATATCTACAGATCAGATGAAGTTGATAAAAAAGTAAATGCATGTAATGTTTAAATACTAGTGGTGAAACCCCGATTGATGTTGTGGGAATTATGTATGTACAACAGACTAGAGATAATTTACGATAATTCGGTTGATGATAAAAAACGTGTGCATTTCTTGTTTGTTTAGACATGTGGATGAATATTATAATAGCAATGTACGTATAATTCATGTCCCATAAAAGAAATACTTACATTTCTTTACCAATTAAATCAATATGTAACAAATAAAAGCATCACACTATAATTACATTGTTATTATGATTACAAACATATAAGAATGTTGCTATTTAGGGAGTTTTGTCACACCTCCCGAGCATGTCAATTAGACAATTACATCATCATTTGCCAAAACAACTTCAAGACCTGAAATAAAATTGTGTATTTTTAACATCCCAAAAATACTAATAAAAATATTTTCGTTTTCAAATCATTAAACTCACACAATGTTTGTCGCAAAATCGGTCATAGTAAATGTATCACAATCATTAGAGTAAATTAAAAATCATCATTGCGGAAAATTATTATGGGATACTGTGCGGTCAAGTCGGGCCCTTCCCTTTGGAATTGGAAGTATCTGAAAATGCTTAAACCACAAAAATGTAAGCACAAAGCATAGTAAGTTCCTCAAAATACCACATACCATACATATCAATGGGCTCAACCCTATGTGAACGCTATGATCCAACCATAGTCTTATATGCACCACCAGATTACAGTCCATCTGTAAATTTTTTGCCATGATCGAACCATGGTCTTCCATGCAAGTCACAAAGACAAACAAGTTTTGTGATCCAACCATAGTCTTTCATACAAATGTTGTGATCCAACCACAATCTTTCATACAGGTGTTGTGATCCAACAACAATCTTTCATACAAGAGTCATAGATACAATCTAGCAACCTATATAGTATATTGAGAAGACTCACCTGTCTAACAAAGTCAGATAAACCACAACTCAATGCCACGCAATAGGTGTTACATCACACCTAACGAATCACACAAGGTCCAACCTTTGTCTATACTCTAGAACTAGCAATTTGACCAAAAGTCAATCCATGTCAACAAGTCAACGGTCAAGGTGAAAGTCAACAGTCAGGGTAAAAGTCAACGGCCAACATTATCATCGGAGAACTCGCGAACAATGGGCACGTCATCTACAATCTTCTTACCACCCTCTCGCATATCCACCACATAAGCTAGGAATCTGGAGCACCCCTGCTGAATATATCTCGTAGCTCTTGCAGCTGAATAGACAGTCGGTCCACGCTGAGTACCCTCACTATGAATAACCAGTTTTCCCCCACTTGGGGTTCGAACTCTCACCAACTGGTGCTCATAATCAATCATATCCCCATTAGGGCCCAACCAATCCATATCCACAATAATCTTCGACCCTCGCAGAGGAATCAGAACAAAATAAATCAAATATCTCTCGTTGAATATATTCATAACACATCCCCAATGAACTCTCGAAGCACTCATTGGCCGATGATCGGAAATCTCGACCTCCAATGGATAATCTAAAGTCCCTAGAGCATCACTAAACTTCTAGCTAAGCGCAAGAGACACAAATGATTGGGTAGCACCCGAATCGAACAGAACATGAGCAATCATATCATTGACTAAAAACGTCGTTGTACATGATCAGATAAAACATAAGCATAAACAAGGAAAACAGTAAAAGATATGGTAAAGATATATATCGGTAGCCACATCCGGTGTTTCTCGTGCCTCTTTGGCTGTCAACAGGAATGTCCTACTTGTAACACCTCAAATTTTAGAACAAATTTTCATTTTAATTTACCAATTTAAAGTTTCATAAAGTAGGTTATCAAACACATAATTGTTCGAGCAACCATTATTACAAATTATCAGAGTTCACAACTGTCCCAGTAACAAATCTCCCAGCGAGTGTGTACAATCAAACCTTCGCCTTCCTGCGGTCCTCAGAAGTACCTACCACATATAAATCAACAATTGTAAGCACAAAGCTTAATGAGTTCCCCAAAATACCACATACAACACAACATAAATAAACAACTATGGGTTATCAGAAGTAAGTGCTTTAAGGTCAGAAAGACCATTTTTCCCTTCTCATGGTCCAAAACCCTAAATTTTGACCAAAAGTCAAAAGTCAACGAAAGTCAACTGCCCAGCATGTACGTTGGGCGTACCTCTCCTTACGTGGGGCATACAACTCGAACAACATAAAAGTCAGGGGTGGAACTAGTTATGCGGTGCGTAACCAGGAGTACGCATGGTGTACTCCATCTGTTTCAGCTTGCCAACTTAATTCCTTAAACCATTAGTACATCTAACCCCCAACTTCAAATCTGACCATCCTAAGGTGTCTTAATCCATAAAGTCATCGAATTTATGCCCTTGCATGGCTAGGAAAGTCCAAATGCAACAAACCTTAACTTAAAACACACTCTAAGCTACTTTGCTCATGCATGAACCATAGGAAACGACCAAGCAATCATTTTTATGAATCTACATCTCCTATAATGCATGAAAGGACAGTTAAAAACCCCTGGGGTACACCAAACTCATAAAGGTCTAATCTTGGGGACATAAGTACATGAAACTACAAACATGAAGAACAAATGGAAAACTTATCAATGTATAAGCTTTATACCTTAAAATGATGCTCAAAGAGGTAAGGCTCCTGGATCTACAAGCTTGCTAAAACCCATTCCTTCTTTTCTATTCCCTTCTTCAACTAGATGCACCAAAACCACAAAATTTGCTCATAAAACCCACACAAGCAACTTATACACGAAATAGGATTTTGGCCAGGGAATGTTGGCTTATGAACAAAAGGGGGCATAATATTGTTTAAATATGGAGAAACCCTTATGATTAGGGTTTAGAGTCTGGGCCAGTGCGCCCTGTGTACCACACGTACGCCCAGTGTTCTAGCGGACCACTTGCGATTCCATGTTGCATGAGTACACTGCGTGTACTCTTAACTACGCCCAACGTACGACCACAAATGCAAGCCTTTTCTACAAGGGACCAATCGTGCAACTTTTGATAAAGATAAAAGAAATAATGAAAATACATGATATCGGGATGTTACAATTATGCACCACTTGAATCAGGCTTCGCTCTCGAAGTCATCCTCACGAAATAGCTCAGGATAGTTCTCACACATTTCGTACTCGGGTTCCCACATCCATTCCGAGCCTCTCCGGTGTTGCCACTGAACTTTGACCAAGTTCCCTACCTTGTTCCTCAAGGTCTTCACTTTCCGCTCCATAATGGCCATAGACTTCTCAACGTAGTACATACGACCATTGATCTGAATGTCCTCCAAGGGGACCACACCTGTATCGTCAGCTATACACTTCCTCAGCTGGGAAACATGGAAGGTATCATGAAGCTGTCTCAACTCTTTCGGTAGCTCCAACCGGTAAGCCACCTTGCCCACACAGGTCAAAACTCAGAAAGGGCCAATGAATCTGGGGCCCAGCTTGCCCCGCTTCCTGAAACGGATAACACCCTTCCAGGGTGATACCCTGAGAAGCACTAAACCCCCCACCAAAAACTCTATCTCAGAGCGTCGCCGGTCCACATAACTCTTCTGGCGGTCTGAGCCGTCAACAATATTTTCCTAACCTGCTGTATAAGCTAAGTCGTCTTAAGAACTACCTCCATGCTCCCCATGACCCTCTGTCCAACCCCGCCCCAACAAATAGGAGTCCGACATCTCCTTCCATATAGAAGCTCGAAGGGGGGCATACCAATACTCGCATGATGGTTGTTGTTATAAGAAAACTCATCCAATGGAAGATAGGAATCCCAAATCCCACCAAAATCGATGAAACAGGCATGCAACATATCCTCGAGCGTCTAAATAGTCCGCTCGCTCTGCCCGTCCGTCTGTGGACGGTATGCAGTATTGAAATGTAGATGGGTCCCCAACTCCTCGTGAAATCTCTTCCAGAAGTTGGAAGTAAAATACACATCTTGGTCTAACACAGTAGACGTTGGCACCCCATGCCGAGACACCACCTCTCGAACATAAATATCAGCCAACTTCTTTGCTGAAGAGCTCTCACTAATGGATAACAAGTGAGCACTCTTCATCAAACGATCCACTATCACCCAGATAGTGTCAACACCCCTTACAATCCTCGGTAACTTTGTAATAAAATTCATGGTGATGTGCTCCCACTTCCATAAGGGAACCTCCAGAGGTTGCAACTTGCCATGAGGGCGCTGGTGCTCTGCCTTGACCTTCCGGCAAGTCAAACATCGCTCTACAAACGATGCCACATCTTTCTTCAGATTGGGTTACATCTTGGTGGCCCTTTGATTAATGGAAAATCTCGATTTGTGGGTTTCCTCCATCAAAATACGACGAGCTCCACCCACAAACGGTACCCACACCCGCCCATAAAGAGTTATAAGCCCTCAACTGTCAATATCAAAGGCTAAAATCTGGCCGATCACCCTCTCACTTTTCTGATTTTCTTCCTTTATGGCCTCTGACTGTGCTTCTTTGATAATCTATAAAACTAGAGTCTTCCACAGTTTCCTCAAGCATACATCCCGAATCGGGGCACTCACCGCCCTCCTGCTCAAGGCGTCGGCCACCACATTAGCCTTGCCCAGGTGATACAGAATCTCACAATCATAGTCTTTCACTACATCGAACCACCTCCTTTGCCTCATATTCAGGTTAGGTTGATCATATAAGATATCTCAGGCTCTTATGGTCTGTATAAATGGTACACCAA